TTGTGGTAAGAATGTTCTGTCGGTATTATGGAATGCCCGACTGTAACATGTAAATTTGGGGGAAAATGCAACAGACTGCGTATATGTTGAGACAGAAGTAACCATATTTGGCTTTATACGTAGAAAATCAATCAAGTTGTTATGAGAGCAAAAAACGAGGTGGAATGTTTTTATTTTACTTTTACTTTAAAACATGATATGAATAGTGATATCTTTTAGAATTTGTAGTAAGCTCATCTCAAAAGTGTAGTTTTAAATGATTATAAGAGTTTTTTTTTTTTTTTTTTTTTTCCTTCTAAAAGTGTCTATCAAAATATTTCAAAATATTTATCATAATTATTAGAACTAAGATTTGAAATGATATGTTTAGAGTTGTAAAAGAAAAAATGATTTGGCTTATTTTATGACTTCTTCTAAATTTTTACTACCTTCTAAAGCCAAAACTTTTGTAGAAGGATTTTTTTTTTCATCAAATAAAAGATCCATATTATTATTTTTTTTATTTTTGTCTTTTTAAATAGATTTTTAGGTCTAAAATTCCTCTTAGATCAATAAAATGTCCATGTTTAATTTAAGCACATTGTATGAAAAACCTTTGTATTTATTTGGACTATTCCTTATTTTAAGATTATACCTAAATAATTCCATGTTGGAAAGGATTTTTGAAACCATGCAAAAAACCATAAAATATTACATGTTTATTATTATAAAATATTTAAAAAGTTATGTTCTATTAATTATAGATAAAGATAAAAATATGCTTAGAATTATATTTTTTGTGGATAGCTATTTATAATAGATGTCAACCAAACTAAGAATTTTAAAAAATTCAAAATTTATAAAATATTTTATTTATTTTAATAATTCAAGAATAACTAGAAAAATAAGCCCCAAATTAAGAAAAAATTACTTAAAATAGAACATTATACATGATAAATAATAATAATAATAATAAAATAATTTAATGATTGGTCATTTGTCTAACACTTAGGTTTAAATCCAAGACTTCATTATAGCAATTGTTTTATTTACTACAAAAAGTATTGTCTCAATTATATGCTTTCTTTAATATAATTTAAAAATTCTATTATTATCTAAATATTATTATGTAGATATTACATTAGAATAGGATATATCTAAAAGATATGATTAAAGGATCATTTGGCCAATTTTTTTAAAAAATATTATTTTTAGATTTAATTCAAATAAAAATATTTATAATTAAATAATTCTTAAAAAATATTATTATTATTTTATTAAATTTAATATATATATATATATATATATATATATATATTACAAAAATTTAAATATTTTTATAATCAAAATGAAGTTTATAAAAGAAAGTTGCTACAAATTCTAACATATTAGTTATTATTTTTTTATGAATGATATATAATTCAGTATTTATTATTAATTTTTTATATAAAAATATTTCTATATTATAGAAAGATTTGATATTATATAAGTTATAATAAAAACTAATTATTATTCATTGTTGTAAGTATGGTGTAATTTTATAATAATTAATATGTAATTTCTAATTAGAATAGTAAAAAATTACTAAGATGTATCGACTAATAATATTACAATTTTTTATGCAACTTTTCAAAATTTTTTTTTTTGTTATTGTTCAATAGAATAAGAATGCTAAATTTTAAGATTTTATCAACAATCCAATTATAGCCATAGATATTTTTAAAGATGCAAAGCAATGAATAATTGTTGTTAGATATAAAAAAATTGTAGAATCTTGAACCAAGACTAGAATAAAAATAGATATTAAAAAGACCAAAAATAAGCTTAATCTTACCTCTATTTATAATAATTAATAGAAAAAACCATGTAAAAACTTAAAAAAAAACTTCAAGATTTGAAGGCCAAACATCCAAATTATAAGATACTTTTAAATTATATTTCTAAATATAATTAACTTTTTTGAAAAGTTTTTACATTTTAATGATTTACTTAAAAACATGTATAGATCTAATCTGAGTGAATGAAGTTTTTTTTTTTTTTTTTTTTTTTTTTTTGATATTTTGCAAAAAATATATAAACTTATTAGTATATTTTTATCTATTTTTTTATTTCTATCTACTATTATTTATTTATGTATAATATTTTTAATTTTTTTTTTTTATCAATGCACCTCCAATGGCAAAAGCTAGCTACAATTTTTGATTATTTTTTTTTATTGATGTCACCTATATTAAACTCATAAATTTAATAGAATTTCAAATTAATTCTAATTTTTTTTTAATATTCTATTACTAGAGTTTATCAGAGGTAATGTTTGGATTTGAGTGATGTAGCAATGTAATTTGATAAGATGAAGGATTGCATTTTAGATGATGGTTCAATTAATAAATTTATAAAAAGATTTTACAGATTCATGAAAGAAGATTACATCCTTGAAAGTCCAAACTATAGTGAAGTTTTTTATGCTCTTACTTTCACTTGACTTAAGATTGCAAACCTTGATTACAAAAAATAAATTTAACTATGTTATTTTTACTTATTTTTAATCCATTATTCTTAAAAAGATTATTTTAGAATTAATAATTATATTTAATAATAGAATAATGTTTTAAAATAAAACAATTAACTGATAAGTTTAAACATTAATATTGTAAAGTTAGACGTTATTTGTAAAATAATTTTATATTAGAAAAATAAATCGTAATACATAACGTAGAATATAATATTCATATTTAAAATAATCTTATTTTTTAATTTTAATTTTTTTAATCTAAAATTTAAAAAATTAAATAAAATATAAGTTTAATTCGTTTTTCATTAATTTATATGGTTTTATTGTATATATAAAAAGAAATATATATATTTTTTGATATAAAGTTTAAGTCAAAAAATTAAGATGTAAATATTGCACCATAAACTAATTAACTTATAAAAATAAACTAAAATATAAGAATAATATAGTAGCAATAATTGCAATATATTAATAAAATTCTCAAAAACTTAGTATTAAGGTCATCTTATATGTATACAAAACTAAATTTTACTTCATTTAAATAATAATTTTATATAATAATTTGTTTTGATAGTTCATTTATTTCAATTTATTTGACACTATTCATTGTTTCTTTGCAAATTAAAGATAGTGATGTTAAAGCAAAGCTTACAATGCTTAAGATGTTTCTTTGTATTTTTTTTCATAGAGATTGCAAAAGCCATCAATAACAATAAAACGAATGATTTTCTACAGATGTATGAAGCTTTTATATTATGTTCACATCCATCACTTAATGTAAGACAATATATCTTTTTTTAGAGTCAAATTTTAAGTGTCTTTACAATGCAGAATAACCACTATTTCTAGAATTTGATTTATTACGTTTTTTTTCTAAGAACTTCAACTTCCATTGACTTTTTTCTAAAAATAAATAAAACCCTTCTTATCAACATTTTAAGATTATTTTGATTATTGACCTGATTTTTCAAGATCAAAACATTTTCTCTTATACAAAACATACAAACATAATTAAAGAAAAAGAGAATAAGGATTTGATAAAAAAATATAAATCAAAATAGATATATTAATTTTATTGATAGAATTAAAATTAAGACCCATAACCATATTGATTTGAGTTAGATATTATTGAAAAATCATCTACCATTTGAAATGGTAATAATCAAAGTCACTTGAGATATAATAAAAATATATAATCTAGGATGTAGAAAGTAAAAGTGGTATTAATTAAAGTGTTAATACAACATCCAATTGAATCTACTTTAATAAATGTTAACAAAAAAATCATTCAAAATATTATAAAGATAATGTTAAAATAAAGATTTGGACTAATAATCATTAAACATTATAGATTTGGACTAATAATGTTGATAGATTAATTTTTTGCAACTATGTGCATGAGATATTTAGCAAAAATCAACAAGAATAAGTTATTTTCTTAAAAATTAATTGTTAATCTATAATGTTCAATGATTTATTTTAGGTACAAATATAACTTGTAGGTATCTAATTCTTAATTATAACTTCTATTTGTTGAATTGAAAGAGATATTATTGAACCTAAAGTTTGTAGGAGTTTAGAAGTTACATATTTATGAGCTCTTTATTTGTGTTGTATCTATAGTTTCTTCATTAATTTAAATTGTGAAATTTCTATCAAACACTTTCAAAAGACTCACACTTATTTGATGGTTTTGAATCTATGTTTTTTATTTTATTTTTTATTTTTTTGTTTTTTTTCTAAAGCAATGGGCTAAAGGCCTAGAGATATGATATACATTTGCACTTCAAAATAGATGCAAGAAAAATCATCTATAAGTTATTTCTAATATTATTCTAATATTTTGCATGAAATGGGTTTTTAAGTATTATTGTTGCTATTGATCTGCTCATAGCACAAAATGTAAAAAACTAAGGTTCTTTGCTTGATTTTTACATCTTCTATTTATATATCCTATGAATTTGGTTTCTTTAAAAAATTGTCAAAAGTCACAAAGAAATACATCATAATATTGATTGTATGCTAATCAGGTCTTTAAGTAGATTCATTATGTTTTAGATATCAAAGAAAGTGACTAAATTGCAATTGGTGAATTATTTTGAAGGAGAGACATATTATTGAGAACCAAATTTGTAGTAATTGTAACTACTAGAATGCTTGTTCTAGAAGAAAACTCTAAGCCACTTCTAAATAAGTAATAACTTTCTTACATTCAACAATTTTACTTATTTTTTACATCCTCTTTTAGTTTTAAGTCCAAGGGTCACTCCAACTAGGAAAATATGAACAATGAAAGTATAATAAATAAGCATTATAAACAAGCATTATCAATGATGAATCAATAAATTTGATGAAGGATTAACAATTCCTGACTACAACCCAGCTTTGGAGTAATGCTAGTGGATAATATCCAACATTCATAAAAAAATCTCTTATTGTGAAAGAAAGATCAAACTTGACACAATGCAAAGCAAATATGTATTAAAAATATGTGCACTAAAATTGAGTGAATCTTACAAAAACCAAGATAAATCCACATAGCCTAGATATGTTCAATACAAAATTTTGAAAGCAATCGACATGTATACAGTTCAAAATACTTTTACAATGGCCAGTCTTTTTCGGCTGTTTTCCCCACCATGGAATCGAGCTTGCTCTCATAGACAAGCGCCGACATTAACCCCTCTATTGTGGAGTTTAACACCCTCTGTATTGCGTGTTTACAACTTGAACAGAACCACTGCACGTCCAAATCCCACTGACGTGCAACATGCGGAATTAGCTTGACAGCCTGCAGAAGAATGCTAGAATTCTTTAGAAAGGCGAATGCAGGGAGGGAATGCATGACCATGAGCTAGGAAATGAGACATTGTCACCAGTTCGCTCGATGAATGGACATCTCTCAATGGCCCTCCACCTCTTGTCGCGAAGATTGAATGTAACCAGATCGACCTTTGCTTCAACATCCCTCTTACTAATGAAAACGATAACATCACCACACACGACGGGGGAGCCCAACTCCGCAATCGCACGAGTCTGTCCGAGATGTATCCAACTGTAGGGGATCTGAGTATCTAGCATCCAAACCCGCAACTTGTTTGAAAAGACGCGAAAGCTTAGTAAAATAACACGCCCATTCCACTCCAACAGCATGGAAGGTTCCTTAACGATTGGCAACTGCACGCTCTGCCAATGGAGACTGTCCAAGGTTGTGCTGAAGAAGAGATGGCGGAGGCTGTTCAAGCAGTAGAGTATGTCATTGCACCACACCATGGAGATAAGCACGGTGTGCCAAATCCTCCCCGCAGATATCCACTGCTTCGTGTCGGAGCTGTAGACTTGAAGCAAGGTGAAGTGACTATTACCTCCCAGGTGCCGATCATCTTCAACCGTGATCGACTGCGTGACATGAAATGAAGAGGAGGAGGGATCTCCCAGATGCTTCATAGCCATAACTGGAGAGGTTGCTGATTTGTGTTGGGACGGTGGCTGAGGTAGTTGAATCCACAGTTTTGAGATCGGATTGCAAACTACGTATCCATCCTCAACAAAGCCATCGGCTTTGGCTACGAGGTTACCGCACAAGACCAAGTTTCCAGCACTAGCTCTCACATCTGTCAGATGGGGGACGCAGCTAAAGGGGAACTTGAACCACTTCTTGGACTCGAACCTATACGCTGCCACTCTCCGATTCCAGTCGTCTGTGAAGAAGAAAAATATTGGTCTGCATAGAGGCTCTGGTCTGCATGTCTTTAAGAAAGATGGAGAGGAAAGCAACTTGTTCCATGCTTTGCACACACAGCGGAACTTGAATATAACCGGGGGTGGCAAAAGCGACAAGATTCTTTCTACAATCTCCGCCGGTATCACCACTGCTGGGCATGATGTATGTGTGGTTTGGGTGCAACCTTCGTCCAAGATTAAATACTTTTCCAATCCGTTTTCTGCTTCAGATGTTGGTAACATCACCTGCTTGCCCTTTTCGTTTCCGACTTCTCTTCGCCCAGCCCCCATGTTGCAGCAGAAAATAGGTCCAATCCTAGACCTGCTTTAATTCTGGGAAAGCCCTCTCAACAGCGATCGTTCACTTTGCTAAGGCCCCTAATATAACTACTACGTACACGAAGTAACTGATAACCTTTGACCTTCGTTGATCAAACAATTGAAGGTAAAGTCGACCACTTCACCTTGCAACAACGCTGCTCCACCTTCCAAAGCTAGAAAACCTGGTGTGGAATCAAAAATCTTTTAGGATTTTGCCTGTGGGTCCATAATTACTGCTTGCGACAGAAAGTCCTCGCCCTCTCTCACCAAACATCTGCCAATACCACACCAACGCCCAAACTTGAATCCTAAACCTAAATTTAGAACGCTTCCTCTGCGTCCAAGGTACTGTTCCTACAGTAACAGTGAGATCACTCACATCGCCAAATCAAGCAATGTTCATAAGGGAAGCGGCGTCCCCTCTGTGGCAAGAAACAAACCCACAAAACCAAAGCCAAAACCAAAAGACCTGAAAATGAAACTGGAAATGGGAAAAATCAAGACTTTAAGAGAGAATAATTCGATATCCTTCTCATAAAAACTCACATGAGCGTACTCGTAGAATTCCGCAAAAGCATTAGCCTCCACTTGTTTTTTTCGCCCCTTCATAAACAGAGGATCCCTGCGAAATTCAAAAGACCAAGGAGCTTCTTGAGACCCACAAACAACCCAACAAACCTCAATCCCCACTAGCAAACTCCTCCGAAACCCGCCGAGTAATAACGCAACACAGTTGAAAATGCAGCTTGGGAGGTTTTGCAATAAGCAAGGCACGCGACCCACCTGGAGAAAAGGAATGGCCGAGTCTCCAATTGGAGAGCAACCACCTACGACTGCAGCATGGTGATGAGCAGCATCCCGAGCAAGCCTTCCAAACGAGAGAGAGAGAGAGAGAAAAAAAAAACAAAAACACAAAAACAAAAAAATGAATATGCAGAGAGCGATCGCACGGGGGGAGGGGGGGGGGGGGTGGTAAGAAGCTCAAAACGTGACTGCTACCAAACTGGGAGAAGGTGTTCCCCGCGTCCAATGAGATTTTTCATAAATGCTTTGCTTGATTGGACCCCACCAGGACTTAAAACAAGCCCCAGCTCTTTATCTTCTTCTTCGTCTTAGCCCAATGCACTCCTCCTGTCCATGATTTCGCTGTGTGTCAAAACCGGGGTTGCGTTTTGGTGGTGGAGGAAATCGGGTACCGACAGAAAAGGGGTCCGATCATGCGGCCCACAGCTGCTGCCACGAATTCATCAGCATCGTTTGATGACACGAACGTTGCAAATCTTGAAAACGGAGAGATCATTGCTCGGAGCTGCTCGCTGCGAAGCCTCTTCTCCCTTTCCCTGCGAAGCTTTGCAATTGGGAAAGTGTCTGCATCGAAACCAGCACTGAGAGCGAGTTTTTGACCCCTTTCACACCGTCGGGTGCTTGCAATGTCGTTTCCTTTTCACACCACGACCCTCCCAGCGTCTTGGTTCCTTTCACACTGTCAGCTCCTGGAATTAAGGTGTCTTTTACCCTACAGCTCAGGAAAATCTGACACTTTTCACATCGGTGGGTTTGTGATCTCCGCGTGACATCCGCGATAAGCACTGGAAATTCAAAATGAGGTGGCGTTGTAATCTCCGCTGGACGCTGACGTCAACCATTGGAGCACAAGGCACGAATCTGCTGCACCACCAGCTTTGCGACCCATCTGCTTTGCAACAACCCATCTCTGTAAGCGAGCCATTCCGGAGATTATTTGTCAATGCAGTTCCGTGAGATTCATTTGTGACGCGGTGATTTAGGGTTTCGTGGATTTTTGCAGGAAAGTCGTGTTCTACCACGGAGGAAGACCACGTAGGGATGCCTGATTGGCTCGATCGGAGCTAAGCAAATCGCCAGCTGAAAGCCAGAGTCATTTTTAGACGAGAGATGTCCTGCTGGGCTGGTAATGGATCAGTCGATAAAGAAGTATTTTCGTTTTTGTTTTATTTTATTGGATGTGTTGTTTACTGCCTTCTAACCTTATTTTGTCTCGTTTGATTTCTTTGCATTTTCCCCTGAATGAAGTAGTTGCTGCTCGTGATGTGTGGCATCTCCAAAGTCGACTGTTAGGTTTCGTGGTACTCGGTTGGAATACCTTGAGACTGTTCAGGTGATTCTCAGGGTAGAGATTGATTTCTAGGGCGCTGAATTAACGCACCTAGGGTTTTGAGCGACGAGTTTATGCACGCTCACAGTAAAGTTGGTATTCCAGCAGAAATCCGGAAGGCTCATGGTGGCTGGCATGTGACTTTGTGTTTACGAAGTTTGAGTGGTAGATGTTGTCTGCTCAGCCTGAATGGCATGTGGGTCATAAGGAAACTGGCCTGATTTAAAAGCTGTGGTTCACTGCGGCTGTTTGTCGTTGGCCATCGCAAAAGCATGCTTTCAACGGTCAAGCACTCACTTACTAACAGTGTTCAACATTTATTTTGCAAGTTAGGGTAATCCGTTCCGTAGTATACATCCTTTCGGTCTTTAACCCTGAGGGACATTGGATGTTCAACCATACGATCATCAAAGAAAAATGTGCAATAGAAGGTCATCGTTGTCGTTAATCGTTTTGTTTCATTTGTTCAAGTGAACCTTTATGGAAAGCACCACATAGCCCCCACCTGGCTGAAGTAATGGCTTTGTGGGAAGATCGAGAGGGTAACCAGGTGCAATATCATCATGGGGTCATTGTCAAAACCTCGTCACTGTTTCGGGAGCACTGAAACTGTGGACTAATGCCCTTTACATACGTGTCAAAACAGTTTTAATTAGTGCGCTCGTGAGCTTGTGTATTTGTTCATTATCAGTGTCTTACGTACACGTTATGCTCGACATGCATTGCATTCCTGAAAGGTTTTACAGACAAACCGGCTAACTGGATCCATGTGACGCACACAAGCCAGCTTTACTTCAAGGTATCGTTTGAAGCTAATAGTATGTGATATTATGTGCATTTCAAACTGAGAGTAGCTGAGAGTAGCCGTTGTTGTAATGAATTGGTAGTGAAGGAGCTTACGTTCTTCACTGATTGGTTCATCTTTGACAATATTGTGCACACAGCCTACGAGGCTGTTCATGATCATCAACACCATGTCTAGAGCTGGTTTGTGGCGGACATCGCCAAGCCGTGGGTTTGAAAGGTGGAGCTGAGAGGAGCTTTAAACTGGTTCGTTGTCTGATCGATGTCTACGTTTGTCAACCTCTGATCAGACTGTTGAGTCTGTTGCGAAGTTGTTTGAAGATTGTCATGTTGCCTCTTACTACCTGGAACACTTTTTACCCACGTATGTTCACCTTAGAATTGGACTTTGATTTTTTCACGATTTGTGACGCGGGCATGTACTGCAATTGAATTGAAATCGACGAGATCGACGTTGCCATATCTTCTCTTTTCTTAAAATAAATGAAAAAATAAATCAAACAGTAGATTCCTATGTTCGCACCCGTTTGCAGAGAGGTATGTTTCAACGTTTTGACTTGATTAAGTGTGTCTTATCTCACTAACCTCTGCGAGCGGTTACCCTAGCAATTTTCTAAGACGTTGACGTGAAGTGATAACTAACCCTGATTGACGTGAGCGTTTTTCTGGGTTTATCTCTGGCAACGGCATCCTATTGCTCTGACGCTTGAGTTGTCGACAAATATGCAGCATTGGTATATGAACTCAGGGATCACTATTAACCCCTAAACCTTGTCGTTGCGTGTTTCCGTCCATGTACTGAATGTGTTAACAATCTTAGTGCTTGATAATAGTGGTTGACAACGTACAAGGGGGAATCTCATTTTGGATCGTTTAGTCTATCATCTACATCTATTTGTGATAAAACTACACATAATGCAAATTTTGGTATATTTGTATCTGTAAAAATAACTTAATAATTTTTTGACAGCATAGATTAAAAGTAAATTTGAAAATAGTTTTAAACCTTTGATACGTTGTTTTTATATCTTTACAATGTTGTAATTTGTTTTTGTAAGTGGATTGTATTAATCAAACAAGAACTTAAGATGGTTATTTGACAAATATTTTATTTTAGTTGGTAAATGCTAAAATCGATTATACATCATACATAGATTTTAGAAATGTTCAATCTATAGTAAATTGTACCTTTTCAAAATCCATTTTACTAACTGACATTTGAAATAGCACATTCTGAAAATTCTATTTGAGTAATGTAAAATAAACATATTTTTTGTTGGTATATATTCTTGCATCTTTAAGTTTTTGTAGTTCAAAACAAAGATATTGCTTAGTCTTTTAAGTTCTTATAATAAACAAAAATGTTATTTAAATAACATACAAAAATATTGTGTAGAAAGTTAAATGTTGGAAATTAAAAACAACATTTGTAAATCCAAAGAGCATAATGTTATAATCAAAATGGATTTATTTTCTTTGAAATATAAACTTTTATATATTTTTTAAAAAATACATATCAAATTAGAAGCTTGTTATAGATCTATCTTTATAAAGACCATAATAATACTCAATTGATCAAAAGGCTTATTATTTAAGACAAAAGATAATAATTCTTCATAGCCATTATTTTAAGTTTGCAAAAAAACAAATACCTATTTATAAGGATCCTTTTTTTCTCTTTTAAAGAAGATTAATTGCAACTTTTTTATTAATATGATCTTTAATAGCAACAAATTCCACAGCAAGAAGTTTTAAATTGGTCCAAAAGATAGTTAATTTACTTTTGGAAGATTAATTGATCAACTATAAGATGAATGTTTTAACAAAATATCAATATTAGTCTTTTTAAAATATGTCTTGATATTCTTTACATTTTTTCAATTTTCTATTGCAACCTTTATTTAAATGAAGATAATAAGTTTTAAATTTAATTTTTATTTTTAGTTTTAATATTTTCCTAAATATAGCAAGAAAAATTTTAAGATTCTATATTACATAATCTATGTAAAGATTATAATTTTCTAATCACAATAATCTAAAATTCACAAGTTAAGGATACATGTCATGTTGTCTTTTAGAAGCTATTAGACTTTTATGATCTCTTTTAAATTTCTTTTATTGGTAGAATTTCAGAGTTAACATTTTTATAAAATAAAGGTTGTTTATATAGGCTTTATATATGTACAATACCTGCAAATTTGTTCTCCCTTCTACCAAGTATAGTATCTATGGTTCTATTTTCTTTCCATTTTAATAACAAGTAATACCAGCAAAAATACAAATTAAATTAGAAAAAATAATCTGCAACCTTTACTTTTAAATATTTTTTTTTACAAATAGTAGTTTACTTTCATTAAATATATATATATATATATTATTATAGAAGCGGATAGTCCATAACTTTCAAAAATATAATAATATGTATGAAGAAGTGATATTATAGACTTTCTAAAAATTATAAGACTTTTTGCTCAAGCATCCAATTATAGGTCACTTCCAATATAACATCTTAGAAGTAAGAAACTTGTGGCACAAGTTTCAATAGTCATGTTTAAATATCTAAGGAGTATCAAGAAAAACTTTTGTAAAGCTTCTTAGAAAAACTAATAACTTTACAACATGTTTTTACCTACTTCTACTTGCTTTTATTTATTCTTACTTCTCTAAAAAATATAGGTCTCCATTATACTTTCTTTAAGGTATTCTTTATGAAAATATTATTATAATATAAATTAATGCAATTAAAAAATATAAAATAATTAAAATCATGAATAAAAAAATATTATTAATAATATATATATATATATATATATATATATATATATGTATGTATGTATGTATATTAATAACATTGTATCAAAGATATGAATTTCAAAGAAAGAAATCCTCAATATACTCTTGTAATACTAAAAAGAACTAAAAAGTCATTCAAAGATGATATATTACTGAACTAGAATGGCTACTGCCAAAAACAAGGAGACTAGAAAGCCTTGAAACAAGACTAAAGATTAAAAAGGCATTGACAAAAGTGAAGAAAGTTTCACTATTGCTTCTATATATACTCTTAACTAGGAGCTATGTGGCAATGTCCTATAAGACCTCCAAAACATGTTGACTTTGTAAGACATATATCTTAATTTGCAAGGCACATAGTTAACTTGTTTGACAAGCTACCAACACATGGCTATCTAATTGGCTAAGTTTCTAACCTATCAATCAACTACAAACACATATAAAATCAAAATAACATCTATGAAGCTTCTAGGAAGCTTCTATAGATAGTATTATGAAATTAATTTATTTTTATTTACTTTTACTTACTTCTATTTAATTATATATGTATTTATTATAATACCTATATAAACCTATGACATTATCATCTCTTTTAGGAATGAATTCCATAAGGAGGGGTCTTTATATATTGAAAAAATCTAAGATGTGATAAATTATATTTGCTATATACTCTGATCTTTAATTTCTTTGAAGTTGATTGATAGGTTGTTTCAGCCATCGATAATGTCCCAAACTAGGACAAGAAAACCACCCTGTTATATGATCATTGTTGAAGCCTTTGTAATTTCTTTTATATAAAATATTTGAAATATTATTAAGAGATTCCTATGTCTAATAAAATCACTAGATATTGGAAGGCTCTTCCAATGTCATGATACCAAACACTTTATATCTCGCCATCTATTCAAAAAAGGACATGTCGTTCTTAAAGATCTTTATCTTGATTTGATCGTCTTGAAGGTTGTGACAATTGTAATATCTTGTCTAATAAGTTTGTAAATGAAAGTTCTTGAGTTGAATCTATTGGTCATTGATTCTCTATTTTCTTAGCATCACAAATATACAAAAGCTACAAAGATGAATAAAAAATATAGTGTTATCTTTCTTTGATCTTGTTTCTTTTATAGCAAAGATTTATTATTCTTTATCTTAGTTTTAATGGGTGTTGTCCATAAAAACTTCAACTCTCTTTGTTGTATTTGCAAGATTCTTTGCTTCTTACTATGTGCAATCACTAATATCATATCGATGCCAATGAACAAGTTATTCTAACTTATTTTGGCGTTGCCTTGAATTTAAGACTTCTTCTACCTCAAATTCTTGATTATTATCCATTTCTATACGAGGAGGTGATATTTGTCTTCTTCTTGAGATATTCACTATCTTATATGAGCCAAAAAAAGATATGTAAAATATATGGTGGATCTTCATAGACTCTAATAGATATAATAAATAAGCAACGAGATTAACTAATTTGTTAATAGAAAAAGATCCAAGAGTACAATAGTTCAACTTGTCATAAGAACAAATAGTCTTGATATTGTGACAAAATAATCATATTTTGTCACCTACATTGAATTATGGTTGTTTCTTGTACTAGGCATCTGCATTAATTTTTTGTCGTTCTTGAACTCCCTTTAATTGTGTCTTCATTGTTACAAATAGCTTTGACAAACAATTAGCCAAATCTTTTGCCACATAATTATCAACTTTTGAAAAGTCAAAAGTATCAAGTCATGGATGATAACCATAGTTGGCAAAGAAAGGTGTTTCTTGAGTAGAAAAATGTACCAAATTAATGTATGCAAACTCTGCCAATACTAAAAGAGTTGTCCAATCATCTTGATAATAATTGATGGTACACCTCAAGTATCACTCCAAAACTTGATTCACCCATTATGTTTGTTTATTAGTTTGAAGATGAAAAGTCAAAGAGAACTTTATATCCATCTTTAAAATCTTGAAAAGGATTCTCCATAATCTTCATATAAATTAAGTCTTTTGACCTAATATAATATCTTTAAGCAATCTGTGATAGTGATAGATGTTGTTAAGAAAAAGCTTAGCCATTTCTTCACTTGTGATAAATTTTGTACATAGTACAAAATGTACCATCTTGGCAAAATAATCTATGACTATAAATGTAGAATCATACAAATCTGAGACTGAAAGATCTTTAATAAAATCCATAGAAATAAAAGACGATGGTTGTTTTGAAATAGGTAAAGGTTGAAGTAGTCTATAAGGTCACGAAAAATCTCTCGATATTAGCTCCAAAATCTAGTTGTATTCAAAATATGTGACTGTTGGAAAATCATGACGAATTTGAAGAACACGTAATTGTATCCTATCTTTTAGAATGTATAATTATTCTTTGAAATAGAGTAGGTTGTTTTTGAATTCAAACTTAGAAGCATCATGAGACTTAAAAGAATTATTCTTGATATTATAGACAAGAGGATCAAAAGACATACTTGATTGAATTTGCTTTAAAAATGTTGAATCAATAGTTATTGTAGATTTTTTTGCTCAAAGGTGAAAATGTTATGGCTTCAAAAAAAAAAATTCTTATTGATCAAAAGATACATCTCCTTCTTTCCGTACAAGATAAGAATACCTAAAAAGGATGTGCAACAAATCTTATTTTTTTTTGGATTGATAAATGATCTTGAAATCAAATCTTAATAAGAACATGTTCTAATAAGGTTGGCAATGATTTAAAATACATATTGATATGAAATACTTGAATTTTTTATAATTTATATATAAGATGACCGGACTTGAGGCACCTTCTAAATAATGATACTATTCTTGAAATGAATAAACGATTCCAAAGAGCTCTTTGTCGTAGATCTCACAATTAATCTCGACTATTAGAAAAAAAATTAAAATAGAAAGCTATTGGATGGAGTTTGTTATCAGCTCCTATTTGTGATAAAATTGCACCTGAGGCAAATTGTGATGCATCTATTTCTATAAAAAAAATGCCTTGGAGAAGTCAATATGATATAAAATTAGTGCAAAAGTAAACTTCTTTTTAAAAGCATCAAGTGATGCTTTGACTTCTTTACTCTATTTAAATTTATTTTTATAAGTCATATGTATAAATAGAATTGTAATTTGAAAAAAAATCTTGATGAAGTTCTGATATTTGTTAGCAAAGCCTAAAAATATTGTATGTTTCTTAGTATTCTTGAAATCTTCCAATCCATTATAGTTTATATCATCTTTGGATCTATCATTAGACCTTCATTAAAAATAATGTATACTACAAAGTCAACTTGAGTAGTCTGGAATACACACTTTTATAACTTTGGATATAATCTTGCATATCTAAGTTTTTATAACCCATGATGAATATGAATTTCATGCTCTTATGTGTTTTTAGAATAGATTAAGATATTATCCAAATAATCGATGATAAAATTATCAA